CCTCCTAAAACCCAATTACTGCTTGCAGTGTGATTGTGTACAAACGCCAGCTAGCAGCCAGACATCATGATTTGTTACTCAATCTTTCATTTTGCAGGACCAAAAGCAAATGATAGTGAGTCAACAGCAAGCTAACATATCGTCGCCATATGACACACCTCTCCACAGTCTCCCAAAACAAGGAAATGGATGATAACATAATGCGCACTGATTAGCGTCACCCATGGATATTAATTACATTTACAGGAACCACGCGGTGAATTGGTTGAACACCGTTAACTGAATTCCACGGAGAGATTCCTAATGTGCCCATTTTGTAGAATTTGCATACATCAACACACAAGATAGGCGCCGCGCCCAGTGGTGAAATTGCTCTTGGTGTTTTGTTGGGTATCACAGAAATCTCATCCAAATTCCTACGAATGATGTTCAAATTATGCACAAACGTGTGAACGTGACTTGCGCAAAGTTGCTTGATAATGCATAGACCAACGTTTTCCGTTAACTGCACCAAACCTCGTCATTATTTAGTCGATTTGTATAATTGCGATAAATAAATAGGCCCTCTAAAAAACAAATGCTGACTGGAGCTAATCGGATTGTAGTCATTCTTGTTGCCCTACTTGGTTGGACGTAATTTCGTACACGCTTTTACGCGGCACAGATTGACTACATAAATAATTGCACCCGTTTTAAGTCCACTTTTGTAAGCTATTTTCGGTTTCCATCAAGACGAGATCTGGTTTAAAGTGGTTATTTAACTTACGCCCCTTGAATTTCTGCAAGTGTAGGCAGGTCGGTAACGTAACACATAAATTTCAAAACACACATATGATATGTGCAACTTGATCACCGGTAGATTCACTGAGGGAGAAATTTACTGTGATAGCTCGTTTCCATTTCGACTGTACATCATCGGACAGCAGCAGGCGGTAGGTTTACAAGATATCAAATCAAACATTTCGCACAATCAACTGTTCAAGGTGACGCTACCCGGGGTACTCCCCAGAGTCCATGTTTGTACCCAGAAAGATACACCCGGAAGGAACTTAAAACTGTCAATTCTAACACTCGTGTTGCCAACTGACGACACGCTACAATGACACCTATTGAGGGCTGAGCCCGCGGTTGAAATGAGAAACTGTAAATTCTGCGTCTGCCAAGTTCCCTGTGTAGAATGTCCAGCCAAACGCATATGTCACGTAGCTAGGCAGCTCCGCGTATCAATCGCTGAGCACGAACGATATGCGCGTTTTCCTACAAGAAACCTAACAGAGTGGATCATATCTGTTGTAAAATACTTCATTACCTTCTATGCTGGGAATAACTGCCTTATTGAGGAAATCATGCGTAATCAACCTGTTTTCCAGCCAAATATATCGGTCAGGCAGCTAGGCAGATCGGTGTACAAATTGTGGAGCGCAACCGATATCAACATTTTTCCACGCACTTGGGGAAAAGCATTTAAACAGTTCCGGTGGTACAGGCCTACTACAGTCATGATTCAGGTCACATCTATAACGGTTATCCGCTGATGTCCCACAGAATAACTCACTGCCGAACTTCATCTACCACATTATGGCGTTAACATTCCATCTATGTGGATGTCAACCAGTGCAGGAACAGAAATCACTTTTCAAACGGGGATCTCAGAAATGACGCATTATGGGCGGCACAACAACATGCGAAAGTCCATTCATTTGGAATGCACTCATATTCACAGCTACACACAAACTCCCGCACGGCGGGCCATTTCGACCACCAATTGAGCACTGGGATGCACCAATAAGAAGGCACTGTGTAGATACAACTGCCTCTGCATTTGGCTAGTACATATTCATTTGTACAAATCCTTCAGAAAGATCACCAACGGCAACCGATAAATCGGATTATCTCAATATATTCCACTACGCTACTTCATGGCATTATATGGAACGGAATTTCGCAACCCTACATACAGGCATCGTTGCGTACGTTGCCATTTTCACTCACGCGACCATTTTTATAAATACAACAGCACAGAAGCTCAGTAATATTGAGGTTGGACGAATCCTAATCCATGATTTACACGTTTGCATATGCAGCGGCAACACAATTTGGTCTCTCTCACCATCAGTGTTTTGAAATAATCAGTGAACAATAATTAGAAAGACCTAAAGCTGCCACCTTGCCGTGGTGGTCGGGCTTGGGTGCTGCAATGATCCCGCCGGCTACACTGGCTGGAACTTCGCTTCACAAGGTGCAATGCCAAGAAGTCCAAAGTGGATCAGCCAGACCAAGAGCAGCGAGACCCCATACTACCGTAAATTGTGCTACGAGGCTGTCTCCGGGTAAAGTCGTACTGTCCTCTGGGACAGGAGTGTGACGGCAATAAGATATTCCCCCAGGTGACCAGCACGTCCATATTTATGGAAGCAGCGTTGCTGGCTTACCACGTGGAAGGACGTGTTAGAAAAGGTCGGTTCCATAACCGCCAATATCGATCGCCTAACGGTTGACCATGACCTCTGGCGCATTATCCAACACGGTCGAAATACTTTTGAAACCAAAGAGCCCGGTGATGTTCAACAGGCACCTGTTGTGAGAAGCCATATCAGGAATGAGACATTAATGCCTTATTCCCTGCGCCCTCGGGTAAGATAAACCTCCGGCAGCCGAGCAGGTCAGAAGGTTGAGTCGTCGACTCCTGGCTAGGTTCGTAAAGTATACCTTACATTCTCCCACCGCCTCGTGGGTTAGAAATTTGAGTCGTCAGCTCTAGGCAGTGTCCCCAAAGAAAAAGCCTACATTTCCCCACTGCCTCGTGGGTCAGACTTTTGTGTCAGAAACTAGACTCAGGGCCCCCAAAGGAAATCCTACATTCTTCCACTGCCTCGTGGGTCGGACTTTCGAGTCAAAGGCTCAAGGTGGTTCCCCAAACCAAACACCGCTCCTCGGCTTGGGTAACCGGGAGGTATCATTTGCCCGCGCAGTTCATCGTCCACCGATGTCCCTCCCCAACCCCTTTCCACCGCACAAGCAAACGTAGCTGGGCCATTTGACTCTCAGTCATCCGACGGAAGCGCCTTATGCTCCTCGCTGCCTACAAACATTAAACAAAATAACATCCTTCTGAATCCACGAAATCCTTTCTATATAGGAGCCTTGAACGTCCGTACTTTATGTCAAATTGACAGACGCAACGCTTGTTGATACATTATACTCCCTTAAACTCCATGTATGCTGTGTCCCTGAAAGTCACATACATGACCCAAGCGTGGTTATGCAACTCAGAACGCCAAGATGAACTCACCTCTTTCACATTTCTCCCTCCGTATGTCCGGTGACCCAGAAGCGATGATTCGTGGAACATATGGCGCGCGATTTGCCCTCAGTTCCAGAGCTGAACGTGCTTTGCTGGATTGGATTCCGATAAACAGTCTTCTTTGCGCCATTCGGCTTTATTGTTCAATTAAGCCTGATTGTTTTTCGGCGTAAAAAAGCGGTGCCTGCTTGTCATGTCGGCTTATGCCCTAACGGATTGCAGTTGTGATGCAAAGAAGGATACTTCCCTTTGGGAGATATTCGGGCTCATTTGTCAGGTAACAAGCACTAACATTGTGCTCCTTGTAGGCGATTTGAATGCTCAAGTAGGTCGTCGGAGCTCCTTGGAATCACATTTGGGTGGTCGATTCGGAGTCGATGCTCGCCACAGAGATAACGGAGTTCTAAACCTTCAGTTGTATGCTGATCACATGCTATTCAAAGTTCGATGTTTGAATTTAATCTTAGGGGACTTCCCGGCTTTTTAATGCACACTGGTGCAAATGCAGTTTTCGTAATACTGCTGATACCGCTGATACTAGTGATGGGTAGACACGCGAAAAGTACGTGTGGTTCGGGGAATTTTGCCTTAAGTTTCTTGAAAAGGGAGATCTGTTGCGGAGTTTGTAGAGTTGTTTTGTAACATTTGCTTGAATTCGAGCAAGGAATGACTGGCGTCAATGAATATCCGGGAAAGTTCAGGAAGGCGCTTTCATGAGAAGATGGGTGTTCAATTTTTGTAAGTAAGATGCAACTAAGCGCATTGCTTTCCCGTCCAATAGTCTGTAACCAGTCAGTTGATGTTTTCCAATAAACAACTTCGCAGCAAGGGCCTTCTTCTCTTCCTTTGGTGCCGTGATCAAGATAATGATGAACATCCCGTGGCCCTAAAGCTTTGATGTTCGAACCTTCGTGGATGACCGTGAGGAGGTTCCGGATGCCGCTGGTCTGGGGACCGATTGGGATAGTTTCGCGGAACTGAAGACCCTCCTCCGGGGCTGAGCAAAATGGCCCAGCATGCGGCCAGAAGAGTCGCTCGGAAGGTGTTCGCCGCGAAGGAAGTTCATGAAGCGAAGATCGACACACTGGCCGACCGCCAACAGGCTATGAGGCCGTTCAAGACGGCCAGGATGGCACCTAGCTCTGACACGATCGTGTTCTCCGCCGGCCAGCAGCAGTCGTTGGATCGTGCTTTGTCGGGGCTAGGCAAAGTGTCGCGCCTCCCATTGCTGCATGACCAGTTTGTCGAAGATATGCAGCCGGCGCTTGGTGCCCATTTGCGTTAGGCGCGACCAAATGACCAGTTGAATGTAAAGGAGCTGGTGCGCCTCGCCCGGGAACTGCCCGAGGAACCACTGGCCAGGTTGCAGTCGCAGGAGAAGATCAACAGTGGAGAAAATGAGGTGGACGGGATAAAGAAGTTATGTTTGATTGATTCAGGAGCCGGCGTATCCCTGAGGTGGACAGGGAACCAATCTGAATGCACAGCGTGCGCGCCAGCCGTGAGAGCTCTTGGTGGATATCGATTGAACATTGACAGATTGTCACCGCATTCGATAGGCCTAGGCGACAAGTACATGCAGGACGCATTCCTCATCAGCCCAGACGTAGAACAGACAATGTTGGGGGCGGATTTTCTCAAAGGCACCGATTCCGTGATTGACCTAAAGCGGGAATAGTTGGTGATGAAATATGGCGCAACCAAGCTTGAAGGTTACCTAGGCGCTGCCGTGAGTGAGCTGTGTGTCCGAAAAATTTCGTCTTGTAATTTATCTTCTCTACGGTCCATGCTCGAGGAATATTCCGAACCATTCACGGGCGATGAGGATCCGTTTGGCTTCTGCCCGTGGATTGGACACCAAGTTCCCCTTTCGTCAGAACGCCTTCAAGCCTATGGCCCCGTACGTTGCCGCTCCATTTACGGGAGGAGGTCCATAAGCAGATTCAAGAGATGTTGAATAATGGCATAATCGAAGGAGCCAGTAGTTCGTACGATTCTTCAGTTGTGCTTGTAAGAAAGACGGACGGATAATACAGGTTTTGCGTGGCAACCCGGCTTGAATGAACTGACCGTAAATCGGGTTGTAGCTGTGCCTTCGGTTGCGGAGATTTCCTATTCCCCTCAAAATTCTTGATATTTCACTGTGTTTGACCTGCGTTCCGGACACTGGAAACTACCTACCAAGGCGGAGGATCGAGGGATTACGGCGTTCCCGGCTGGGAATAACCAGTAATAAGTTAGACGAATGCTGTTTGGTTTGTCTGGGGCACCATTCACATTCCGGCGCTTGATGCTTCGTTTACCGAAGGGACTCCAGATTGTTGCCGTGTACGGGGACGATATCGTTGTGTACAACAATTTGGAACCGGAGCACGTGGTTCGTTTGAAGGCTGTATTGAAGTGGATCCGGGAGGCTGGCTTGCGGATAGATGAAGCCAAGACAAAACTTGCTCGGAGTTCGGTGACACCGCTGGGACATAGAGTGGGTAATGCAGAAGTTTGCCCATTGCCAGAAAATTTGGCAAAGGTCGAGGATTGTGCTGTTCCCAATTCAAAGCGGTCTCTATGGAAGTTTTTTGAACGAGCAAAGTACTACATCCGGTTTGTCAAAGATTTCAACATAATTGCTGCTTCACTGCATGACTTGCCCGGTCAAAATCAGAAATTCGGATGGACCAGGGAAGCACGTGGGGCTTTTAGGCGGGTCAAAGCGCGGATGCTGGATCAGCAACTGACCCTCTAACTCAGTTATGGCCTCTTCCCTTTCATTTTCAAGACACAGCAGATTAGGAAGTTGAGTCAATAGCTATCCAAGATGAGTTTAAATACAAGAATGGTTATTTGAACTAATAACGACAATATCAAGTTTCACGATATCAAGCAAATTTCTCTGCCATCCGCGCTAACAGCAAAGTGATATACCCAATTTCTAGCTAACATGTGAACATCCCAGAATATTGCAAGTGTCTTTATGTTAATTCGCATAAAACACCTGTCTACGGACTTCCAGTACAAAATGGATGACAACAAAACGCGCCGGGATTAGCGTCACGCACGTATAATAATAATGGTTAATTGTTAATCGAATATTTCAAAAGTCCCGTTAACAAGCAAATCTCCCTGGAATCACCATGCTTCATTTAGAATGGTGCAACAAGTTCTTCTTTAACATGTGTTTCTTCGTATAACACTTGTGTCTACTGGCTTCCATTACAAAATGGATGATAGCGTAACGCACACTGATTAGCGTCACGCATGTGTATTAATCAGATTCACAGAGAGCACGTGTTGAATGATTTAGCGTCTTCAAGATAAGTTATTTCCAGAAGTCATCATTTTCTGATTTGGCCGTGTAAATTGGCGTCCTGTCGAGTCAAAATCATCCTCTTGAATGCTGACCCGCCTAACGACACGCTATTCAATTTTCGATGTTTGAATCTGGTCTTAGGACAGTTTTCAAGCTCTTTCTTGCATACCTTTGTAAACGCAGGTTTTGTACTACTTCAAGCAGTTGTATTCTCCTACGTTTGGGTGTGATGAAGGCGAATGTTAGGTGACCGTCCTTTGCTCATCACCCAGCTAGTTACCAAATTTCAAACACCCAATTACCGCTAGGAATGTTATTCTGTACCAACGCCAGCTCGCAGCCCAGACATCATGAGTTATGGCCTATTCCTCTTTGATTTTAAACGACCAGCAGATAAGGAAGATGAGTCAGTGATTTTCCAAAATGAGTTTACAAATAGGGAAGGTTAGGTGAACTATATACGAGAAGATCAAATGTCTCCTTATTAGGCAAATCTCCCTGGAATCAGTACGTCACAAGCAGCTTAATATACCAAGTTGTTCGTTAACATGTGAACATCTCAAAATATTGTCACAAACCTGTCTGCAGATTTAAATGCTAAATTAATGAAAAAATAACGCACAGCGATTTGGGTCGAACGTGTACATTATTCACATTTACAGAGAGCACGCGTCGAATGGGTTGGCCTCCATAACATACGTTTTATGCTGGCATTTCTTATGCGGTCAATCGTGTAGAATCTGCGTATATCGATTCACAATAGAAACACGACAACCTCGCTAAGTTGCCTTCAAGGTCGAAAATATATCTCACACGAGTTGCATTTGCATTCTCGATCATTTAAGTTCACAAGCTGTTCCAAACAAGCACAAAAAAGCGAAACTGCCTCTTGGATTTGTAAGGGAATTAAAATCCTCAATGTTAAGCCCCGTGTTCCTTTCGATGAAAGGCTTGCACTAATACTCAGGCTTATGTTTATCAATATCTGGTTTTTAAATTTTCATGTCTGGGGTTACGTAGGTTACGACTTTCGGCAAATACGTTCGGTTACCGATGTTTATTTTGTATCACTTTAAAACGGCCATGGTTCTCAAAATGATTAAATAATGACCGGTGGCTGACGATAGCATGGAATGATGTACACAAGTTTTGATTTATGTTTGACTAGATATCTTCGAAGCGGTCCTGAAAGCAGCAACAGAAACCAGCTGCGATTCTACTGAAACATGCTGTTTGTGAAGAATTCAACAATGTTCTTTGGTCCAGAAAGAATTCGACTTTAAAATCCGAAGATTAATACTCCGTTCTGTCTGATATTAGGATTTATACCGTCTGGTGTTAGTGAGTTCCACTAGATCTGGTTGACGTTCAGATTTTTGGAAACCGTTCCAGCATTGGAGCATGCATTTTGCAGTTGAGAAATAAACTTCTCACGACTTTCGCTCAACCGAAACGTTACAATTGTGCTGCTGTATGACTGCTATTTATAGTTGCATGTCTGGGGCTTCTCGGGTAAATGCACAAAACCAGGGGTTTCCGAAACGGACCTTGTCATCTTCAAAATCACGAGGCTAAATGGGGTTTAGTTTGCATGCCATGTTTCTTCAGTTTTACTGGTTTTACAATATTTAGGGCCATCAAGCGATAATCAGACAGAATCACTTCTGTCTGTTCAAGAAAACCCTGCAATCTTGTGGCGATCGCCGGCAATATCAAATAGCTGCGCAGGCATTGTACATATTTCTTTCACCGGATCCATCGACGGTTTGCACAAAACGGGCTACAAGAATTCGAAATGAGCCTACTGAATGTCGTCAGGCGTTCACACATCTTGCTTTTGTAGTAAAATTACATGAATTTATCTATTGTGCCTTAGAAAGAAATCAGCCGGTCAGTCGTGTAGAATCTGCCTATATCGATTCACAATAGAAACACGACAACCTCGCTAAGTTGCCTTCAAGGTCGAAAATATATCTCACACGAGTTGCATTTGCATTCTCGATCATTTAAGTTCACAAGCTGTTCCAAACAAGCACAAAAAAGCGAAACTGCCTCTTGGATTTGTAAGGGAATTAAAATCCTCAATGTTAAGCCCCGTGTTCCTTTCGATGAAAGGCTTGCACTAATACTCAGGCTTATGTTTATCAATATCTGGTTTTTAAATTTTCATGTCTGGGGTTACGTAGGTTACGACTTTCGGCAAATACGTTTGGCTACCGATGTTTATTTTGTATCACTTTAAAACGGCCATGGTTCTCAAAATGATTAAATAATGACCGGTGGCTGACGATAGCATGGAATGATGTACACAAGTTTTGATTTATGTTTGACTAGATATCTTCGAAGCGGTCCTGAAAGCAGCAACAGAAACCAGCTACGATTCTACTGAAACATGCTGTTTGTGAAGAATTCAACAATGTTCTTTGGTCCAGAAAGAATTCGACTTTAAAATCCGAAGATTAATACTCCGTTCTGTCTGATATTAGGATTTATACCGTCTGGTGTTAGTGAGTTCCACTAGATCTGTTTGACGTTCAGATTTTTGGAAACCGTTCCAGCATTGGAGCATGGATTTTGCAGTTGAGAAATAAACTGCTCACGACTTTCGCTCAACCGAAACGTTACAATTGTGCTGCTGTATGACTGCTATTTTATAGTTGATGTCTGGGGCTTCTCGGGTAAATGCACAAAACCAGGGGTTTCCGAAACGGACCTTGTCATCTTCAAAATCACGAGGCTAAATGGGGTTTAGTTTGCATGCCATGTTTCTTCAGTTTCACTATGTTCATCTGGTTTCACAATATTTAGGGCCATCAAGCGATAGCCAGACAAAATCACTACTGTCTGTTCAGGAAAACAATGCAATCTTGTGGCGACCGCCGGCAATATAAAACAGCTTCGCACGCACTGTCCAAATTTCTTTCACCGGATCCATCGACGGTTTGCACAAAACGGGCAACGAGAATCCAAAATGAGCCTACTGAATGTCGTCAGTCGTTCACAGCTCTTGCTCTTGTAGTAAAATTACATGATTTTCGCTATCGTATCTTCAGAAGATATAATCAACGGTTCAGTGCGGTACACTCCACCCGGCCTTATATACATCTTATATAGGTCACTGTTAATGCGCTCTGCATGAGTTAGTTCGTAAACCAAGTTCACGAAGACCTGTCACATAAATGACACCTACACATATTGCCTAATCATTTCCACGACTCACAATCCAATAGATATCAAATATTCTAGCGAATTCTTCAGGATTTTTTAACCGCCGGTTCGAAGCCAATAGTGTAAACAAATGCTTGTAGTTCTACTAGTAAGAGGATCAGACTATTGACTACAGTGGGGACTAATTGTCCCACACCTTCAAGGTGGGTAACATTTGGTTGGTGAAAAAGTCAGAAGTTGTTCCATGGTCCAAAGCGGAGCTGAATTCAAAATTCGGAGTCACCTGTCAGGAATTCAGAAAACAAATCGCTTGTTACTGTTGAATACTCCGTTATGTCTGATGTTTGGATAAATACTGTCTAGTGTCAGTGATTTCCAGTGAATTTGGTCAACAGACGCGATATTCGGAAACCGTTCGATCATTACAACCTGCATATAGCAATTAGGAATTATTGGCTCACGATTTTCGTTTATCTCACTGAAAGCAACCGGTTTCCTATTAATTCCGGGGAAATCTGGATAAAAGTTTGATGAATATCATGAGCACAGGAAATGCATCCAATTATTCCAAGAATATCAGCAACATGTAACCCGGGAATATTTGATAAGCACTACTCATCATACGCAATGTCTGGTATTGCAACAACAGTAATCGTGAGCGTAAGGCACGTGTGCTGGCGGAGGTGAATGCCAATAACTAACGCAAAATGTTCTACGCCCATGAGACAAAAGTCATTGTTCCATGGACCGACTATCTCCTCGGATGGTGAGTGTTTGGTAAACACTCAAAATACAGTCATGCATGTTGCTCCGCAATACTCAGCGTAAGTTCTCGGAAGTATTTACGAGGCACCGGGTGCTCCCATAATCATCGCGTGGTTCTCGGTGCCGTAGTTGTAAGCGATATACTTGAGCTAACCAGCTTACTTGCCGCATGTCCCAGTAATCTATATCTCTCACAGCAAATGCTTAGAAGCAACGTTCAGGGGTATCATTAACTGCGTTTTAGTAGGGCATCACAACTCTGCACTTTGGTTGAAACAACACACTTGTCAGCAATCAGCGATGAATCGTTTGTTTCGACGAAGCTCAGACGGTGCATCCGATTATGGATATTGGGTGATGGTAAAATGAGAAAGACGGTTTGTATGATCCTAAGTTAAAACCCGGAGACGCCTGTAAGGATTTCACACAAATTTAGTTTGTTACCGCGAAATACCCCGTTCTGCTTGATATCAGCATTTATATTATCTCTTATCAGTGGGTCATGCTGGATTTGTTAGCAGGCAAGATTTTTTTTTAAATGGTTACGTCATTCGAACCTGCTTAGATCAATTTGCGTACGTTTGGCGCAGGTGACTAAATATGTAGGGTGGCCGTCAGTCGCTCATCACAAAACCGTTTACCAACCTTCATACACCAAAATTAGCGCTTGCTCCGTAACTCTGTACGAACGTCAGCTGCCAATCCAGATATCAGGAGTTAGGCCTATTCCTCTTTCATTTTCAACGACCAGAAAAAACAGAAGGTGAGTCAATAGCTATTCAAGATGAGTTTACAAACTAGGAAGGTGAGTTGAACTGTATACGAGTAGATCAAAAGTTTTGTTACCAGGCAAACCTCTCTGGAAACCGCACACCAAAAGCAGTATAATACACTAAATTGTTCGCCCCGTGCGGACATTCCAGTTTTTTGTGTTTCTTTGCATAACACGGACTCTCTCTCTGTATTCTGCATTCTCCCTGTATTGGCAAGATCAAGAATAAAAAACCGTCCCCCTTGCAAACTTTTACGAGATTTCAAATGTATATCTGAAATACTTGTATTTATATACATCAGCAGGAGACATTTTGCGACCAATTGATGTACTTCTCAGATGCGCGAATCTGCAATGTCCAGTGTACTCCGCCAAAGATTAAATTGTACCGCGCGTTCTTTTTACCCTAATCAACAAAGTGCCACCTACACAAGGTGAGCATTTTCCGCTTCAGATGTCGAAATCAATTTCTTCCATTTAAAGGTCCTATTGTAGGCGAAATGTTTGGTTATTTACAAGATACACCACAATACTGAAAAAATCAGGTATAAAGATATGCGACGCGATGTTTTCTTAAACGCTGCCATCAACCGGAATATTACTGGGCGCAGTTGCCTACAATAAAAACGGCATATTCCTCCGGTCATAGGCCGGGCAGAGTTGTTAAGAGTGACTTTAAATTGATGGCATTTTGGAACGATGGCAAGTAACTCGAAACATGTTTACACTTGCGTTTAGATGCTTCGTTTCGCATTGATATTTGATGGATTTGTGGGACTTGCTTGACATCCAGTCCCGTGAGTTGGCATGGGATCGGGTGCGCTGCTACTACTTATCCCCAATGACCTTGACAGTAGCACCAAATTGAAATGCTTTTGGCAGAATAAGGCGAATGTTGCGAGCATGGCTGTTGTTGTAGTTGATGGCTGTGTATGTAAAATTAGACAAGAATACTAGAGTACATATTGTCAGCGGAGTTTGACCTGGTACACTTTCTTGCTACGTGGTTTTAGTGTATTTGGCCATTGAAAATTGTTTAGGCTGATATTAAATGATGATGTAACAGATGCATGTGGGGTTCGGAAAAATTTGTGTGACCACTTCCTAACGCACGTTTTATGTCATGCAGTGAGCCAAGTACTGCCTCAAAATTTCCCACTTCCTGCATACCAGAGGAAATTTCTCCGTCTTAGTTGCTCAATTCCAACAGGGGTATATTTTGCGATGGTGCGCGGGAACCCCCATTTCACTAATCATTTGGTCATTCCGGCCCGTTTTTTGGGTGAAAGATGGCAAGCGTTATTCTGGTCATTTGAAACGCACATAACTCTTTAGCACCCGGAAGTAAGATAATAACATGTCAAAAAACATGTTTCACAATAAAACATTAAGGTTTGAACTCTATGGGGAATCACTTCGGGAGCGCCGGAAGGATCTTTATGTGTTCCCCTTGAACACTGGCTAGGTTTTGCTGGTAGCCTGGCACATCCTGGAACACAGCAACGATAGGGGACAGTGTGAAACATGGCTCAGCCTCACCGTCAGTGGCACCCATTCATCCAATCTATGGCTTTCAACGCATGGATCCTCTCCGATCCCTCAAAGAAAAGGTCCACTGACAACCTTGAATTTAAACACCAATTATACCAACTACCGCTACCACTGCATGGCCATCTACCACAACTCCGCATTCATCGGAGAACGATGATGCTTCACTACACCCATAATTTCAAATTGCATACTGAATTTTGGTCCATAAATTGTAAGCAGACACAGGCATAAAAATATGCTAAATAAAACCCGGTGGTTATGTTAATTTGGTCGTTCGTTTACACATACTTTATACACTTTCTTCGCGACCGAAAGCAGCACACTGGCAAAATAGTTGGGCGAAGGAAATCACACCAAAGCGTTCCTTAATTTGAATACAAAACAAAAATTTAACTATATCTAGATACATATTATACATTGTACATAAACGTTACTTGAGTGTTCGTTTTCGGTATTCCCATTCACACGAATTCCTGAATAATTCCGTGAATAAAATGGAAAGTCATCATGGACTAATGTATGTATTGAGGGCGCACATCACAGTTCACCCTAGGCCTCCGAACAACAATTGATGATTTGCTATCACAAAATTTCAAAGTGTACTCAGACTTTCAAATATTTGTGCTACAACACAAAGTGCGATGGCATTCAAGCGGTTCTCTCGAGTGCAACACAATCACCAGCCGGATCCTTCACTGCACCCATAAGTTCAAGTTGCATACTGCATTTCGGTCCATGAATTGTAAGCTGACAGACTCATTATTACGTGTTGAAAAACACCGTCCAGCATTGTAGCAATCTCCTACAGCATGAGAAGGCGCTAACACTTTACCGTATGATCTTTCAAATCCTTCGGAAAGGGCGTGAAATTGGGGACTAAAATTCGCTTGTAATCACATACAGCATGTTTCACGAACTTCGCACCTGATATTAGTAAACAAAACTAAAACGCAGTCATTAACCCAAACCGGTTTTGAGAAAAATCGTTGGTTCAATGTAAAATGCGCATTTCTGTTTGAACTTAGGCTTTATAACGTCTGGTACCAATAAAAGGATTATGAGGTCCGTTTTATTGAAACTGGGTCTATCACTATCAACTGCCTTCTTTGAAACAACCAGTAAAGTAAATGAGAAGATCACTGAGATAACTTGTTTTCATTTCGACTACACATCACCGAACAGCAACAGGCGGTACGTTTATAACATACCAAATGAAAGATTTCTCACAATCAAATTTTCAGGTTTAATCCGCACGGGCTACTTTCCAGATTCCATGTTTGTACCCAGAAAGATTCACCCGGAAAGAACTTAAAACTCTCAATTTTAACATAGTTGTCCTCAACTGACCACACGTAACAACCACACCTATTGAGCACTTAGTACCCGGTCAAACTGAAAAACCTTGAAATCTGTGTCTACCGAATCCCCTGTGCAGAATGTCCAGATAATGCATACGTTAGGCAGCTAGCCACCTCCGCGTACGAATCGCCGAGTACAAACAATATGCGCGCTTTCCGCAAAATAAACCTACGAGAGCGAAAGGAATGAAAACTCCATTCCACGACTACAGTCCACGCATTTATCTCTGAGCATCTTAACAGTCCTGATAGTACAGGTGCATAGTGGAACGTTCATGCGTTAATATCCCAGAGACCAACACACCGCCGAACTGCATATGCCGCAATGACGGCGACAACAACCGATCTGCCTGTATTGGATTTGCTGGACAAAATAGCAGCACATAAAGGCAGAAGTCAAGCAGGAATCTCAGAAATGGCACTTCTGAGTCTCCACAATAAAAAAGCAAATAATAATTTAACCACAGTACACGCGCACAGAAGGCCCCGCACTGTAGCCCGAACACACCACAGATAGATCGGGATAGGTTGTACTTGGAAGAGCAAAGGTTATTTCAATCGTTCTATCTTCAGAAGGGCGGGTTAATAATCGTAAAAATACCTGATAACGGGAGTTTGGTCGTTAAGAAAAGCATTTCGGTCAAGTTGTGTACCACATCCTGGAGAGCTCAAAGAATGAAATTATTCTGGATGTTTTCCATGTAAGATCTAGATGTGAGACAATCACAGGCGTCTTGTCGATTGAGTAGATCTAATATCTCTAATTGTAGTGAAATTCAAATTACCATCAGCATATTTGTAGTCTTCAGAAGTAGCAATTCAGCAGGATATTTTCACGTAAATGTCGTCCTTGTGACGAAAGTCAGAGGTATTTCCAGGTGCATCTAGCAAAATTGCTAGTAGTATCAGAGAAATTGACGAAACACTGCACACTGCACTGCGTGTTGATCCATGCCTCACGAACTGCCTCAGTCTATATATTGGATAGCATCAGGACGTAAGTCAACCACAGTCGCACAGTCACACACACATGCTTTACATCTCAGGTTGACTGAATTTACGTAACGTAACACAGCGGTCATCCACGCATATATATAAGACCTTGGCGTAAAATGCACAAACCTGCAATTTGTTTCACTCAGTTCAACAGTTGTCACAATTGGGGCCAAAATAACGCCGATCATGACCATCCACTTTGATTAGGCAATCTGAGAGCCTCCTTCGTGGTTCTAGGTTCCCGCAGACAGAGTAACTTTCGAAACGCCATTGCGCTTGATTTTGCTCGTAAGCACACTTATTTTGGATGAACCTTAATATAACACGTCAGACGGTCCAATGCGATGAAAAGGAGACAACAAAATGTTCCGACATCTGCGAAACCACTTGACTAACATATATTCCAACCTCAATGTTAACTCCGTTACAGAATCATTCTTCACGTTATTAGGTTCCGATATTTTGTTTTTTGTCGATCACCTGACGTGTTCATGATACGTTTTGGCGTAGTGATCGTCCGTGCAAATTTCCCGGGTTTTGTTCGCCATTTTAAGTGCGTAATATAAGCGGGCGGTCACCAAGGGCCTCAGTAAATACACTTCACTCCGAGAGTTCCACGATATTTGTGCCCTACTAAGTGGCCATTATACCAACGGTCGCGATTGTGGATGGACCCAACGGTGGGTTAAAATCAAAATTGCCATAGAATGAACGCTTGCACTGTAATTTCGTACGAACGCCAGCTAGCAGCCCCATACATCATGACTTATAGCCAATTTCTCTTTCATTTTGAAATACCAGCGGCAAAGGAAGGTGAGTCAATTGCTATTCAAGATAAGTTTACAAACAAGGAAGGTTATTTGCACTATATAGACAAGATCAAACTCTCGTTATCAGGCAAATCTCCTTTGAAATCCTCTTGCCACAGGCAACATGATATATCAACGTCCTCCTTACCATGTGGACATCGCAGAATGCTATCAATTTTGTTTGTGTTTCCTCGCATAACACACCTGTCTGAGGACTTCCAGTACTAAATGAGTGGCAAACCAACTCGCTCTGATTAGCTTCACGCATGTGCATTAAGCACGTACACAGAGAGCCAGCGTTCAACGGTTTGGCCTCCTCAACACAATTCCTATGCTGGGATTTCTTTTGCAGAATGTGCCTGTATCGATACGCAACAGAAGCACGACACCCGTGCAGAAACTGCTGTTAAGTTCGGCTCCATATCACGTAAATGATACTTGCATCCTTGATCATCCACATTCGCAAGATGTTCCACACATAAACAAAAACGCAAACATTCGTCTGCTAATGGACGTTCGGTTTTGTAACGGAATTAAAAATCTTACCGCGTTTTTTTAGGGTAGGCTAGCATAAATACGCAGTTGTTCTCTGCCTGAGACCATGCGTAGAACGCACATATCTGGATATTTTATCAATAGGTTCAGCGTGATTCATCCAGACGGATAAAGTTGAAATGAAAATATCCTCCTTTTCTGAGTGACTCTAATAGCTGTCAAGTCGCACTCATCTACCTGCGTACCGACTCCTATGCGGATGCGCTTTTCAATGTTATATTTGAATCTTAGGGGAATTCCCCAGCTATTTTTTCACACTTGTGTAAATGCGGTATCTGTAATATAACCGGTAGCTCTCTCCTCGTGTGTTAAGGTGTGGTGATAGTAAATGTAGGGTGACCGGCATTCGCTCATCACAAAACCGGTTACGAACCTCCAAACACCCAATTACCGCTTGCGACGTATTCTGCACAAACGCCCGCTAGTAGTCCGGACATCATGAGTTATGGCCACTTGATTTTTTCATTTTCAAGGCAAAACAGAAAAGGAAGGTGAGTCAATAGCCCTCGAAGGTCCGTATACAAGCACGAATTCTTATTTGAAATAATGACGAGAATCTGAAAGGTCTCGTTATCAAGCCCATTGGCTTTTCGCAGGGATTTAATTCACATGATGTTGGTTGATTTTTCAGCCATTTTATTTCATTTCTAGACCATGTATTTCTGATGCAATATTGTTCATTTCAGTTGTTAAGTTACTTGTCCTCCAGGTCGCCTCAGTTTGTTTTGAAGTCATTTTTATGATTCCATTTTGCGCGTACCACATCACGGCTATCGCCACCATGTAGGGCATCTGTTTTCGTTTTTCCTATGCATTACATCTGTTGTGAAATAATCAGTTACATTTTATGCCGGGATTACCAGCCTTATCGAGGATCTCATCATACATGTTTCATAAGCCAAATATATCAATCAGGCAGCTAGGCAGCTCCATGTAGGAATTGTGGAGCTTAAACGATATCAACGCTTCCGCTACGCACTTGAGGAAAATTAGTTAAACAGTTCCTATAGTACAGACCTACTGCATTCAACATTTAAATCGCATCTTGAATGCTTGTGCGCTGGTGTCCCGCAGATCAAACCACTGCCAAACTCCATCTACCGCAGTGATGGCGTTAACATCCCATCTCTCTGCATTAGACTTACTGACAACACGAGCGGGATCGGAGATCAGACTTCAAGCAGGGATCTCAGAGATGGCGCATCATAGCGTGCACAACAACAGGCGCAAGTTCACCTAAATCAGAGTACACTCACGATCACAGGTATTCACAAACTCGCGCACGGCGGCTAAATTCGACCACCAATTGGGCACTGGGATGCATCATAATTGAGCACGGTGATGCATCAACAAGAAGGCACCGTGTGGACAAAGGTTTACGCTTCTCAGAAGTTATTTTTGCTAAGCAACCTAGGGCAAATTTCCGGCCGGACCAATGTTTGCCCTAACACACGTACCTACTGGAAAACATTGAAACATTATCGTGAGTACACTATCCCGCAGTGAATAATTGTTGCTAGGGAGGGGCAAACTAGTCAAACTTGGCAAGCGTGGGAAGCATCCTGAGAGTTCAAAAATTTCGTTATCATGCAAATCCATCTGGAGTCAGCATGTTCCAAGCAGTATAATACACCAAGTTCGTCAACGTGTGACATCCCAGCTGATGTGTGATTCTTGGCACAACACGACATTCCCTCTGTATCGGCACGCTCAATAATAAGAAAACGCATTCCGTGTAAAATTTTACGAAATTTCCGATGCAAATTTATGTATATATATATATATATATCAGTAGGAGACATTTTGGACCAATTGATGTACTTTTGAGTGGCGGGAGTTTCCAATGTCCCGATTATTCAGCCAAAGAGTAAATTGAGCACCGCACCTTCTTATTTTACCCTAATGAACAAAGTACCACCTAAACCAAGTGAGCATTTTCCGTTTCGGATGGCAACATCAATTTCTTCCATAGGAAGGTCCCTAGTGTAGGCGAGATGTTTGGTTATTTACAAGATACATCACAATACTGAAACACCAAGTAGGAACTTAAACGATGCAATGTTTCCTTAAACGCTGCCTTAAGCCGGAAAATTACTGAGCGCAGTTGCCTACAATAAAAATGGCATATTCATCCGGTCGGAGTGGCAGATTGAGATGCTGTGAGTGATTTTAAATTGATTTATTTGTGGAACGATGAAAAGTAACTCGGAACACGCTTACACTTGCGTTTACTTGCTTCGTTTCACCTTGATATTTGATGGACTTGTGGGACTTGCTTGACATGCAGTCCCGTAAGTTGGCGTGGGATTGAGTATTCTCGTTTATCTCCGGGGGATAAAAGTTGAAAAACGATCCACTTTGACAATAGATTGGCGAAGCCAGTTATGGAATAAGGAAGTCTGTAAGCTTATGAAACCTTCACTATCATTATACCGGCAACAATAATAAAACTTTCATCAGAAGTATAGCGGCAATAGTAATATTTTAATCTTTGCTCCCTATGCATTACTAGTGGAAACAAAATTAAGTCGTTTGAAGGCTGATGATAACCGAAGGATGTGCTATTAGAGACTCTACCAGAAATCAAAATTCCACAGGCGGCATTAGGTAATAGGTTGTCTGATATCACACAGACACCAAAGGAGATCGTCGGGTTGGCCCGTGATCTCAGTCTTCGTCAGTATAACTGAGCTCTGGATATAAATCATGCGCAGGCGCGACATGAAGTTAATGTAGTAATTTTGAACATATAGTGGTTATTTACAGAGAAATGCGATGGTAGCTCAGGTAGCGTAGATGGCCATTGGCTTGTTCGCTCAGCTGCGCAGATTAAGCGCAAGCGTTATTGAGAATTGCACTGGTGTAGGGCTGGAGGTTAGTGATTGTACTCACAATCTATTGCAAGGAATATCTTACTATTTGAAGAACCTCTCATACAAAAATGGCCGGTAGCTGAACAACTGCACGTGTTTCTTTGGTAAGAGTAATTTACGCGTTTTTTGGCAACTTGCTAATTATTCCGTCAAGATCGTGAGAGCAGAGAACAAAATGACGTGGAAATAAGGTGCATTTACCAAGCATCAATGTCTCATTATAATCGCATGAGAAGATGGAAAAAGCAGTCATGGGAATACTGCACATACTGTGCATTGCTGGGGAATTAGATAGCTGTTTTTTTATCTCATTACTCCACGAAAGGGCCGCTGGATAATGGAAATTTCAGGTGCGCACTATGAGGCACTCATCGAGGTGTAAAAAAATACTTTATCCGGTCGGAGTGGCAGATTGAGATGCTGTGAGTGATTTTAAATTGATTTATTTGTGGAACGATGAAAAGTAACTCGGAACACGCTTACACTTGCGTTTACTTGCTTCGTTTCACCTTGATATTTGATGGACTTGTGGGACTTGCTTGACATGCAGTCCCGTAAGTTGGCGTGGGATTGAGTATTCTCGTTTATCTCCGGGGGATAAAAGTTGAAAAACGATCCACTTTGACAATAGATTGGCGAAGCCAGTTATGGAATAAGGAAGTCTGTAAGCTTATGAAACCTTCACTATCATTATACCGGCAACAATAATAAAACTTTCATCAGAAGTATAGCGGCAATAGTAATATTTTAATCTTTGCTCCCTATGCATTACTAGTGGAAACAAAATTAAGTCGTTTGAAGGCTGATGATAACCGAAGGATGTGCTATTAGAGACTCTACCAGAAATCAAAATTCCACAGGCGGCATTAGGTAATAGGTTGTCTGATATCACACAGACACCAAAGGAGATCGTCGGGTTGGCCCGTGATCTCAGTCTTCGTCAGTATAACTGAGCTCTGGATATAAATCATGCGCAGGCGCGACATGAAGTTAATGTAGTAATTTTGAACATATAGTGGTTATTTACAGAGAAATGCGATGGTAGCTCAGGTAGCGTAGATGGCCATTGGCTTGTTCGCTCAGCTGCGCAGATTAAGCGCAAGCGTTATTGAGAATTGCACTGGTGTAGGGCTGGAGGTTAGTGATTGTACTCACAATCTATTGCAAGGAATATCTTACTATTTGAAGAACCTCTCATACAAAAATGGCCGGTAGCTGAACAACTGCACGTGTTTCTTTGGTAAGAGTAATTTACGCGTTTTTTGGCAACTTGCTAATTATTCCGTCAAGATCGTGAGAGCAGAGAACAAAATGACGTGGAAATAAGGTGCATTTACCAAGCATCAATGTCTCATTATAATCGCATGAGAAGATGGAAAAAGCAGTCATGGGAATACTGCACATACTGTGCATTGCTGGGGAATTAGATAGCTGTTTTTTTATCTCATTACTCCACGAAAGGGCCGCTGGATAATGGAAATTTCAGGTGCGCACTATGAGGCACTCATCGAGGTGTAAAAAAATACTTTACTTTGAACATATGTGAAATTTGAGGCAATTAGGAATTATTGGCTCACGATTTTCGTTTATCTCACTGAAAGCAACCGGTTTCCTATTAATTCCGGGGAAATCTGGATAAAACTTTGATGAATATCATGAGCACAGGAAATGCATCCAATTATTCCAAGAATATCAGCAACATGTAACCCGGGAATATTTGATAAGCACTACTCATCATACGCAATGTCTGGTATTGCAACAACAGTAATCGTGAGCGTAAGGCACGTGTGCTGGCGGAGGTGAATGCCAATAACTAACGCAAAATGTTCTACGCCCATGAGACAAAAGTCATTGTTCCATGGACCGACTATCTCCTCGGATGGTGAGTGTTTGGTAAACACTCAAAATACAGTCATGCATGTTGCTCCGCAATACTCAGCGTAAGTTCTCGGAAGTATTTACGAGGCACCGGGTGCTCCCATAATCATCGCGTGGTTCTCGGTGCCGTAGTTGTAAGCGATATACTTGAGCTAACCAGCTTACTTGCCGCATGTCCCAGTAATCTATATCTCTCACAGCAAATGCTTAGAAGCAACGTTCAGGGGTATCATTAACTGCGTTTTAGTAGGGCATCACAACTCTGCACTTTGGTTGAAACAACACACTTGTCAGCAATCAGCGATGAATCGTTTGTTTCGACGAAGCTCAGACGGTGCATCCGATTATGGATATTGGGTGATGGTAAAATGAGAAAGACGGTTTGTATGATCCTAAGTTAAAACCCGGAGACGCCTGTAAGGATTTCACACAAATTTAGTTTGTTACCGCGAAATACCCCGTTCTGCTTGATATCAGCATTTATATTATCTCTTATCAGTGGGTCATGCTGGATTTGTTAGCAGGCAAGATTTTTTTTTAAATGGTTACGTCATTCGAACCTGCTTAGATCAATTTGCGTACGTTTGGCGCAGGTGACTAAATATGTAGGGTGGCCGTCAGTCGCTCATCACAAAACCGTTTACCAACCTTCATACACCAAAATTAGCGCTTGCTCCGTAACTCTGTACGAACGTCAGCTGCCAATCCAGATATCAGGAGTTAGGCCTATTCCTCTTTCATTTTCAACGACCAGAAAAAACAGAAGGTGAGTCAATAGCTATTCAAGATGAGTTTACAAACTAGGAAGGTGAGTTGAACTGTATACGAGTAGATCAAGCGTTTTGTTATCAGGCAAATCTCTCTGGAAACCGCACACCAAAAGCAGTATAATACACTAAGTTGTTCGCCCCGTGCGGACATTCCAGTTTTTTGTGTTTCTTTGCATAACACGGACTCTCTCTCTGTATTCTGCATTCTCCCTGTATTGGCAAGATCAAGAATAAAAAACCGTCTCCCTTGCAAACTTTTACGAGATTTCAAATGTATATCTGAAATACTTGTATTTATATACATCAGCAGGAGACATTTTGCGACCAATTGATGTACTTCTCAGATGCGCGAATCTGCAATGTCCAGTGTACTCCGCCAAAGATTAAATTGTACCGCGCGTTCTTTTTACCCTAATCAACAAAGTGCCACCTACACAAGGTGAGCATTTTCCGCTTCAGATGTCGAAATCAATTTCTTCCATTTAAAGGTCCTATTGTAGGCGAAATGTTTGGTTATTTACAAGATACACCACAATACTGAAAAAATCAGGTATAAAGATATGCGACGCGATGTTTTCTTAAACGCTGCCATCAACCGGAATATTACTGGGCGCAGTTGCCTACAATAAAAATGGCATATTCCTCCGGTCATAGGCCGGGCAGAGTTGTTAAGAGTGACTTTAAATTGATGGCATTTTGGAACGATGGCAAGTAACTCGAAACATGTTTACACTTGCGTTTAGATGCTTCGTTTCGCATTGATATTTGATGGATTTGTGGGACTTGCTTGACATCCAGTCCCGTGAGTTGGCATGGGATCGGGTGCGCTGCTACTACTTATCCCCAATGACCTTGACAGTAGCACCAAATTGAAATGTTTTTGGCAGATGCGTTTTCTGCGAGAAGAAAAATATCCTAGCTGGCACCGCCGAATGGACATTATTTCTTTATATTTTCAGTATTTTGCATTTTATATTTTTACATATATACTTTCCCACTGCAGCTGAATCTGAAGCGGTTTTTCGAGTGGTTGAATTATTGTTTTCAGGTGATGGCGTGGTGTATCACGTTTTAGAATTTGGAGGTTGTTTACCCGCCCATCGCAGAGAATGGCTGAGTTTACCTGACAGTATAATGAAAACTGTACACGGAATGAGATTAACTGGAAAAACTGTGAAAATCAATAATTCTAGCCATATTTTCTCTAAACATGTTAAAAATCAGAAAATCTTCAACCTTTTCAAATATTTAGTAAGCTGCGTGGGCAGTACCAACGATGCCTGAACCTCTTCTAATTTTGTAGCACCCGCTGAAATGCGAAATCATCTGTGAACTAAGATGGCTATATTGGCAGGAAAAAGCACTTTAATTAATTAGTATATTGCTAAATGTTGTGTCATTGAGGAAAGTTCTCGGAAACCATCATGAGATATAATTAGGGTTTTGCCACAGGAAAGTTTCTGAATATAACCCGTTTTTGTGTGTTTTTTGTATTTTCCTCCCGTGATTGTCCTCACTATTGAGCTAAAAATCCGCAACTTATCGCAGAAAATTTGTCAGTTTCAGTAAAAGCTGACAAACAATAATATTTTACCAGATATGTAAAACAAACGGTTTTAAGGTTTGCCTGAAACTGGCATTCAGTTGGAGGCAATTTATTTGCCTAAATTCATGGTAACTACCTGTGGTGAACCCACGCCTCGGTTTTTCCAAACTGAAATCTTTGGAGATGATTTGATATGTTGTCAATTTTTTGAAACATAGATTTGTCCATATACTCTAGGAGCACCACACTCCTTTTGAAATTAGTTTATAGCCTGTTAGCATATGACACACAAGTTAAATTTCTGATAATTGACTTTCTCAAGCTCTTCCAAACGTGTTACAAAGCGTAGAAATTTATCTTCTCATTCTGCCTACATTTTGTAACCAGCAGATGTAGTCATCAAGAGTGACAAGGGTCATCCACATTTAGTTAACTTGTATTATTAGGGGACTCCCGGCTACATCATTGATCCCTTAGGAAATAAATGTTCAATGTAATTGTCTATACACTAGACGGTTCGGAACGTCATTCTGTGTACAATTCCATGAAGCAAAGGATAATTGCATAACTTTTGGCGCGGTACCAGTAGCTATATTATATAGTCACCTCAGATACTCTTGTGATAAATTTGTGCGGTGATACATTCATGAACTGCGTACACCGGCAAACATTGTGGCATACAGCGAGTTTTTAAACGCGGTGGTGCGCACCACCAGGTTTCTGAAATTTGTATGGGAACGCTTTGTCTCATTTGAGAAATACTGAAAAAACACCGCGTAAGTGAGCTAGGCTGCATGATATCCAGGGCACATGTTTCGCAAAGATTTCGAAGAAAACATCGTGTGTCCGGTTGTGTTTTAATTTTCATGTTATTATGGACACGTGTTAATCATTTTCAAGACTGTCCTTTCCCATTAGTGCAGGCAGGATATAATTCACTGATCTTGCATGTAGACCGCTGATTAGTCGCGCCACATTTTATGAAAGCAGTTGACAAAAGTTGGGAAGCTGCATGCAATTTACATGATGGACCATTACTCACAAACCTCGCATAGTTGGTTCAAATGCATCAATCTGAATTATCATTTATTTTTGAAGAGCATTGTCACAAACATAAAAAGTCAATGCAGGCGACTAATGCGGGCGAAATACGAGGGAGTACGAGAGAAAAGAGTGTAACGTCTCATTTCACTCTATACCATCAACAATCCCAGTCAGGTGAAATGAATCCCAACGCATGGGAAAAAAATTTGGTATGGAAACACATGTCTGAGGACCAGCAAACGAAGAAACGGCAAACAATGCTAAATGCTCCTCTAAATGCGGTTATTGCTAGCACATTCAAGACTCACATATCAGGCACAAAATGACCGTCATATTGGGTTAAGTGTGAGGTTAAATGGCAAAAATGTACATTCAACGCCATGTGCCACGCATGAAAGTACGCAGAGAGCCCACAATGGCAAGCAAACACCAGTCAATGACTGGGAACTCATGAGGTCTTAGTCCAATAACAGCCTTAGCGTATTCGGAGAGCAGATGCCACGATAAGAAATGATCATTGGTTGGTGAACCAAAAAGTCCAAATCACAAAATATTGTGTAGGGCTGAGATAATGGCGAGGGAATTTTCGCCAGCACCATAATTCTGCTTCCTCTCATTCCACGGAGTCGCTGCGCGCCCATCTCAGACAATATTGACGTCTATTAAAGTAGCTCGGCGATCTCGAACAGCCATGAGGTCAGGTTTGATGAAGGTGGTCGAAGATGGTGCACCGCAGTCGACGGAGACGTTTTGCGAGTTCTCTTGCAACCCAATTATTAGGAGCACATCTGACGTCATGCGTGATCCAGCAGGACTGCAAAATATGCACCAAACTCTCCGGTGGGCCACAGTTTCTACGACATAAGATCGTCTGGCCACCATGATCAGGTCAAGCACTTCTAACTCTCGTCCAAACAGGTTGCATCGAAGCTGGATACCGCGGATGAATATCCGAAGAACCACTCGTTCTGGAAATACAATCCATCGAGTTGAGAGAGGCGAAGTGACCAAATCCATTAAACAGCGACCTTCAAAGCTGTTGTGCAGACTATCACCCCAAGAGAGCCACTAGCTCTTCCTTAGTGTTTACGCATTCGCCTTTGACCCGGATCGGGAGGCTGACATCCCTAACAATTTTGCCAAATGCGGAATCGTTGACAACATTGCGTAGTACTCGGCATTGAGTAGAAAGAAGCTATTTCATACGCGTTCTCCGCTGCATCGTGATTGTTGCGCTCAAACGTGGGATACCAAGTCCCCCATGTTGTTTATCGGCGTGAATCTAGCTGATCGCGGTGATCTTCGGCAGACGAAGCCAACCACAAATATATTGCCTTATATAGTTGTCCGAATTTTCGAGTGTTTTGGTGGACTTCGCTGAGCACGAGAGGATATGTGAGCCTTGGTATCATGTAGTTCCTCGGAATCTCCATTCGTTGATGCGGCTTCAGTGGGGCACGTTTCAATTCTTCCAGCAGTTTGAGAAGGTGCAGTCGATGGCTGAAAACCCTTTTTCACTTGGAAGTGAAGGTAATGCTCAAATATGTTACGATGTCCATCGGATCCAGAGGAATGATGAGTTCCTCGGCGAAGCAAAATGGTTCGGCAGAGACTGCTGTTGCCCGACGTTTCCTGTCCCCACAAATAACCATCACTTCCGTCCTTCGGGCTTTTACTTCCATGCCATCTCTTCCCAACTCGGCCGTAGCAGCTTCAAGCTCCTCTTTAAGGCGTGCTTGACTTTCTCTACATACGACTCGGTCGTCAGCGAAGGCAAAACCATCGAACAGGGTGTCATGGAACTGGTATCCCATTTCCGGCATCGAAAATTCAAGGCCTCATTCAATGCCGTAATAAACAGTAATGCGGAGAGTGGATCCCCTTGTCTCACACTTCTGTGGCGGTGAACATCGGAACTGGGGGAAACTGCTACAGCATTTTCAAAGGATCGTGCGATGTGTCGAACTTGAGGTGACGTTGCTTTGAACCCTTTGGTAGATCTGACGATTGTGTCATGTGAAACCGAAACAAACGCTTCCGAGATATCGACAAAATCCAAGCTTAGGTTAGAAGCCGTCCCTGAAGGGTGACGAAGCAAGGCATGCAACAGCGATGTGGCTTCCAAGCCGCCGTCTCGGTGGAGAAATCAAACGAAAGTGAGGCCAGTTGCACTCTACGATTCCAGCGTTCAGCAAGCGCCTTATGGAAGCAGCCAACAAGGACAGATGACACAGAGATCGGTCTCAGTTGATCCGGTGGAGTCGAATTTGAGACCTTCGAAACTAGGATGACACGGGCACGACAAAGAGAGGGTGACAACCCCCGAATATTAACAGTAGGTTGAAATACCCAGCGAGCCCGTTACCACTGAACCGAAGGAGCATCTTCGGCGTAAGCTTATCCAGGCCTGTGACCAATTTCCCATTGAACAGATTGTACGGCTGACTTTCTCACCCGTAATTGGCCCGAGGAAGCTCCAGTCAGATGGTACTACTTTGCGAATTGGCCGACTATTCACTTGTTTTGGAGCTGAGAGCACTTATTTCCTATGGTGCTCGGCGTCCATATGCAGGCCGCAGTTACCTTTGTATAGATCCTTCCATGAACCGTTGAGCACAGCAGCCGCTGCATGTTTCCGTCTTTGGTGGTATAGGGTCAGGAGAGTTGGCTCGGCGAATCTGCTTTCGGTTGACCGGGATCCGATGGGCTAACTGACGGCGGCGTCAGGATACAGTTTTCCATGTGTGTGGATATGTCCTGGGGCGATAGGACTTGCTCCGGTATTGTCATGCCGGACTGCATCCCTCGGGCAAATGCTTGAGGGTCAACACTGGCAAGCGGACTGACAGCTTTGGATTCCAAGAGTGACATGGCGCAATCCATGGTTTGGTTAAACCAGATGCTCTGCTCATCGGCTTCTGCAGAGCAGGCCACCATTTGGCCGACAGTTTGTTCACGTCCACCAAATGACGATTTGTTGTCGTGTTTATGCCAGTTAAGCACTCTTAACCTGGTTTTGATGCTGATAACCGGTAGACCAGAAAAATACTGCTCTAGTCTCGTAAACAGACCGGTTTGCGTGCCACAAGATGGATATATGCTGCTCTCCAGGTGCAAGAGCGACCGTGACTTTTGTTGGGACTAACGGGTACCGGAATACTTCACTCCGTCAAGCTTACTTGCATTATGCTGAATGGAGTGTGCGTGCCGGCGATGTCGACTTAGGCCAAGCTTCATCGGGAAAAGGCGGGAAAAATCAGCGCAGGCCAACGGGGAACCATGATCGTACCAAAAACTTCATCGTCGTGAACTCGATAGTGGGCTAACAAGCCAGCTTTTGATTTGCAGCAATTGCCACATTTATCACATGTGAATACAACGAATATCTCCTGTGTACTGGTTGGAACTGGTGCTTGGGCGCCGGATGATTCGTATTATACGCTGTCGAAATTAACCAGCACATTGAAACCAAACGGGGTGGTTAGCCCTGTCACGGGTCGCTGTACAGTTAGCTCACCCAGACTGACGTCGAGGCTAACCGGTCGCGACCACGAGGAGGTGGTTCAGCTCGCCAAGGCAGTATAATATTAGTGCTGCTGGTTGAACCATACATTGTGCATACTGAATTCTGTTACGCCGCGGCAAATCGTTTTGTGTCTCACAATCGTTTTACTGAAATGATTAATAGGAAACAACCCGAGATTTACGGGCATTTGCGAAGCAAATGTGCGGTTAACCGGCGGCATTAATGAGACTGACATTTGTAGATTCATTTAGCTTTTTGATCCACATCAGAAGTTAATCCTGCTGACAGAACGGGGGCTATTTCTGCCAGTTTTTCCATACCACACGATTTAATTGGTACAAATCACGCGTGAAATACCAGCAACTGATCAGTGTACCGCTCCAGCTAGCGGCTAATTACTATTGTTTTTCGTATGCTGTCTGAAATGTCATAGGAATCAGCCAAAAAGAAAGATATTTTGGAAGTCCAGAGCGAGTCTTACTCGGCAAGCGTGTGTGAAACTCCATGAATTGTGGCTGAGCATCAAACTGTGCTAAATTTGGACTGTTGGTACTAAACTACAGAGTGGAGCCCCAAACCTAACTTGTAAAAGTTACATGAAAATATGCTAAGTATAACCCGGTGGTGATGTTAATTTAGTCATTCGTTTACACATACTTTACACACTTTCTTCGCGACCGACAGCAGCACGCTGGCAAAATAGTTAAGCGAAAGAAATCACACCAAAGCGTTTCTTAATTTGAATACAAGACAAACGTCTAAATATATCTAGATACATATTGTGCACTCTGCATAAACGTTACTTAACTGTTCGTTTTCAGTATTCCCGTTTACACGAATTCCTGAATACTCCCCTTAAAGCACCTAACATTCGCAAATCTTATTCAGTGAATAAAATAAAAAATCATCAGGGACTAGTGTATGCACTGAGGGCTCATATCACAGTCAACACTAGGCCTCTGAACAGCAATTGATGATCTAATTATCACCAAATTACAAAGTGTTTTCCGGACATTTAAATATTTTCACTATAACACAAAGTGCGATGGCATCCAAAACGTTTTTCGCGAGTGCAACACAATCACCAACAGATGCACTGGAGCCAAAAAATCTGAGGCATTTTGTTTCCATAACTCTTCAGCACCTGGAAGTAAGTTTATAACATGTCAAATAACATGCTTCACAATAAAACATTAATGTTGGAGCTCTATGGGGAATCATGTAGCTCCCAAGTGTCGAGAGCGCCGGAAGGATCTTATGTTTTCTCTCTTGAACGTTGGCTAGGTTTTGCTGGTAGCCTGGCACATCCTGGAACACGGCAACGGCTGAAGCTGTATGGGGAATCATGTAGCCTTCAAGTCTGCATCAAGAGTCCAGAGCGCCGGAAGGATCTTCATACCTTATCTCTTGAACACTTCCTAGGTTTTGCTGGTAGCCTGGCACATCTACTTCAGCCATGTGCTTCACTATACCCACAATTTCAAGTTGCATACTTGTGTTTTTGCTCCACAAATTA